TGAAGTATCGCAAATCCGAAAATAGGTTGTTCAGTCAGTATCGGAATTACCTGGAGTTTCAGCCAAAAGCCTAGCGGAAAGGGAAGGACTCAGCGCTGCTCCGAGAGAAATAGTACACATAGTCAACAATTTGAGGTGATCACGGAGTGTTCAATGATCAGTGTGGTTGAGTGTGGTTGAGTACCCGGACGAGGTAGTGTCGGACTCTGGTTACCACCATGGTTTTGGGGAACCTTTCTCCAAGTTTGTGGATTCGAAATGTCTGCCGAGCATTGAGTGATAATTTGGACCAGTTGTCCATGTGGGTCTATAGAATATATGTAGTCTCTTTGGTAGAAGTTGGTAGTTTTCTGGCATTCAGCAATCATTAAGATCATAGGGGTCCAGAGGACAGTGAAGGCCGGTGTAACTAGAATTAGACTTTCTCCAAGGATTTGAGTGCGCCAGGTGCGCTAAGCACTGAGGCCTATTGGGAAGATGGTAATCAACGAGAGCTGTGTAGGAAGGGAAAGATAACCGACTACAGTCAGCTACAGTCCCATTTTCGGGGCCCGTGCTCCGTGCTACGCCTTGCACCACACATTCACTTTATGTATTTATGTGTGCACTGTGCCACGGACAGGCGGTGACCAACGGGTAAGTCACAGCCTGAAAATTTAATTTCCTTTTGTGCGCTGACAGCAACATCCCCGTCTTTTCTAATGAGATGCATAGATGTTACGGTGGGTAGACTGGAAGAAAACACCAACGTACAACGGATAACCTGCGGATAACATGCTGATACTTCAGAGTTTCGCTTGAAAGAGTGAATTCGAACAAGAGTAGGGTCCTGAAGGATACAATGGGAGCGGACCAAGGTATATTATAAACCCTCATAAACCATAATTTTCCGGCGTTCACTAGCCTTCACTAGCAGGGTATTGTCGAAGGCACCAGATCTCGAATGGCCCGGTCGGACGTGCCCCAATCCACTGTGTTCCGCATGTTCAAGATGTCAGAAATAACGACTATCAACAGGTCAACGTAGGTCAACGTCTTCGAAATCGAAGGATAAGTACATATGTCAAACCTGGGGTGAAAGAGTAGGTCGTTCTGAAACATAAGTGAGGAATTCAAGTTCTCAGATAGATGGACAAGGATGTATGACAATGACATACAGTTGTTGATCAACGTCCGCAGTAAAGTATGTATTTTCCAGTGAGGTTGGCGTCAGCGAGCTTTGGGCTGTTGAAAAGATATTTTACAGCTGATGTAGTCTGTACACACTGGGATGAGTGCTATGGCATGAAGCTACGAAAATAAAACCAGTAACTTCTGGATGAAAGTCAAAGAACATACGGACTGCCGCCCATTCAGTGCTTCGTAAATACCACGGCCCACAGTTGACTACAGTTGACTACTTACTTATATACCCGAGCCACCAGCGAAGCATCTATTCGAGAGTTCGATATCCATATATAGGCGCAAATTTGAAGAGTTATGGAATGGATATCCATCCTGGGAAGCATGCCGGCGCCCCATCCGCAATTTAAACCCCTTCTACAAGAAAATATGGTTCTACCTAATGTGAAAAATCCTGGTCAGCCAGGATAATAGATCAAAATGCGAGGAAAATATTATCGAGGAAATGTCAAAAAAGTCAGGAACCATCCTGATTTCGAAGTTGTAGACTGTTGTAGGTACACATGTTTGTCATGTATGAGAATTTCCTGAAGAATCACCAAAAGATCAGATCAGATTTACAGTCATGAACGCAGGGAAAATCAGATGGGGAGCAAGGAGGCGGGTCATACGAGTGACGTGCATTGAGGGAAAGTTCCAGTCAAAGCTGTTCTTATTGTCTTTTTTCAGTTCGTGGGAAAGAATAATGAATCATTACCGACTCATACCAAAGGCATAAAAAGATGTCGATGGGCAGTAACAATTGGCAACCATTCTTCTTCACTACTTAATACGCACCAGCCATGTACACACCACAGTGCCCTACCGTCCCCTCCCCCCCATAAAACAGTGCCGACGTATCAATTCTTCAAGATACGACTGCGCACAGTTGGCGCTATTAACAATGGGTATACAATTTAACACAATACAGGCGGTTATTACAGAGACGGAGGTTCGAAAATTTTGAAGCTACTTATAGCGCTGAGGGTACAGTACAAGGTAAGTCGTCAACCGCTTTTTCAAATAGCTCCAGACAAAATAAATTACTGGGTTTCACCCAGTTCTCGCCTTCCCCTCCTTCCTTCCCTCTTCTTCGTTCTGAGTCATTAAGTGATAAATAAAATTATGAACAGTGAAATCCGAGGTGGGAATGAAAGAAAACTATACTACAAGTGGCTCCCCTCTCCTTATCCCTTCCAACGCTTTCTCGATAGCCTTTAGCCGCTGCGGACGAACACCACTAAAGCCGTCGAGGATATAACCACCTCTCAACTTGTTTACGGTGAAAACGTGGTCGGGCATAAAGGGCAACATCCAATGCCAAAACCCTAGCGGCTCTGAGCCCAAATCCAGTTTATCGACCCCGCCGACGACTTGATTTGAAAGTAGCCAACTATCTGTACCCTTTCTCCGTGCTGGGATTGCGGCTCCCCCGATGGATGGAACCCATTTTTCGTAGCCCTGGATATAGGGGATATTTCGCATATCTTCGATAGCCTTTCGGTGGATCAATGCGAATTCGTAGAGTGACATGGACGAGACTTGTTGGACGGTGAGAGGGGGTAAAGCAAGTGGTAAAAGAGCGTTGTGAGTGTAACTTTCGAAATCACGGTTTGTTGCTGCGAGGACACTACGGAGGGAGACAGCTGCACTCATTGTCAGAGCGTTGGGACTGGTTGGTCCTTCATCAAGGTACGCAGCCTGGCGATAAAGATGTTGAGTTTGATTTTACATGCAAACAATTCAACAAACAAACCTTTAGGAGAAACGCGACTAAGATATCACCTGTTGACACCCAGCCTTTGCCCTCATCGGCAGCCTGCTTCTTCACATTCGCAACCATCTCCTGTATAACGTTTGAACCCAAATATATTGCTGCCGGCTTCACTCTATGCCATAATAGCTCGGTCGCGCAACTCGCTCCGAGGGTCAATACATTCTTGACGTTCACAGATGTGAAATCGCGTTGAAGATTGACAAGACCCGGGGGGCAAGGATCACCAATAGACTCAGACTCCCTTAATCGTTTAAGCTCTTCGGCTAAGATGCTTGACGAGCTGATCTTTGGCGGTGTCCAAGGGAGATTGTTCAAACACGAGTTGAGTGCTTGCACTACCTGACCCATGCCAGTCGCGTCAAAGATACCATGCGGAAGTGTCATTCCCACACAAGCACAGTTCGCCATCAGCGAAACGTGGAGGGAGAGTATAGGAGCTTTTTTCGAAGCGTAATCGCTCAGCGAGTTCAGCGTGGAAGAATGTCGAAAGAGTTTAACGGGAGGTCTCTCCAGGAATGTCGCCGAGCTGTCATCAAAAGGCGTAATAGGAAGTTTCGTAGAGGGTAACTTGCTCGTGGTGAACTTCACCAGCGCATAGTCTTTGGGCAACGAACCCGAAACAGGAACTCGAACTTGGAACGACTTGATTGTTGCGTTCCATTCCACGCGTCCTGCTAGTAACCTCCACTCTTCCGCGGCGCGTATTGCAGCAGCCTCCAATGCCTCGACGTCAAGTCTGGCGACAACATAACCAAATGTGATACTGCTGGTGTGCACACCGTTCTGGTCTATCCCACTCAGGGGAACGACCATCGTGTTTTCAGTAGACACCATGCTAGTGCGGGGGTGAGTGGAATGGATGGGATGAATGAATGAATGGGGGTGGGCCAAAGGTAGGCGGCCTTGGAAAAATCAAGAAGTCAAGACCGAAAATGACAAGTCTTATTACACTTTCTCCGTGTCTTCTAGGTCTACGGAATTATGATAGGACCCTATCATTGAATTCAACTAGGCGGAAGAATATCAGAAAATGGAATTAGCCCTGTATCAATTTTTTGCACGCGTCGCTCAAGGTAAGTTATCAGTTATACTTCCTGGTTCGTTCCTTCCTTTACTGGAAAGCATTCATGAATCATCGGCTGATTTAGGTCCAGCGGCGTTGTCAATTTGTTTTTTTTGACATTTCACTTATGTAACCCCACGTCCGACGTTATATTGATCTGCAGCATGACCATCCGAATGCGGTACGTAGTTTGTGTTTTCCTAAAATGGTAACTGCCTTCTAGATCCCGGGCGCGCAAACGCGTTAGAGGGAGCGTTTGTTTTTTTTTTACCTACTCGTATTCGCTGAAGTCATTCTCGGAATTTTCTCAGCAACACCAGGCAATCTGAAAAAGATTGCACTTCGATCTCTCCCTTGTTCTCCCAACCTTCTTATCATGATTGTTGTAGGTTTTGACCCACAGCGGCTAGGTTCGATAATCCATGCGCGTCTTCGGAGGTTTTTACAGTGTACCATCGTTTTTCTTTCAACGCATCGACCGGACATCGATAGAATTAGCTTAATTACAAACACCAATCAAATGCCAGCAGATGTTTTTATCCATTTTGGCGTCCAAATCATCCTGCACTCTCACTCGATAAGCTGCTCTAAAGACTGTATATCTTCTTCACGGTATCAGACTAATAATTGATAATTACCCTGTAGAAATTACTGACTTGTCGAGGCCTGCCGATACCAGGCCTTAAGGGCCCTCGAAGGGCCCTCCGTTTGACCCTGACTATAACTATCCTATTCAAGACCATTCATGCTTCTTTGATGAAGTCGCCGAAAGTGATCGTTAGCTTGTCAGCTACATGGTTACGAAATTTTTTTCAACTTCTGATATGCGGCAATACGCAGTCTCCTGGCCATTCAGGTTTCCCACTTTCCTGTCAAATGTTTTTCTAAATCGTTCAGTATATATTACAGTCCGTTAGCAAATTACTTTCGTGATCCCCTCTCCCTCTCCATCACAGGTACCACCAGAGCAATCATGTCCGCCCCACCCATTGGTACTGCAACTATGGATGTTTCATTGACCACTGGCGCCATTGTAAGGCTTGTGTTGCTGATTATTTCATGTACTTTGGAATTGAACATCTTTTAGGTCGTTGGCTCTCTGTTTTCTGTAAGTCATTATTCAAACCGATGTATATTAAACAAGAGCACTTATCGATGTCTATTCATCGATAAAGTTCTTCACGATGGGAATAGTGGCCGTGTGTCGTCAGTAACTCTCTCTTTATCGAGCCAGACCAATCTTAACTCTGGTTTTTAGTTTGGATTTACTACACGAATTATCCAAAAGATCCGATCTACTTCAAATTATTGGTGTCTTTCATGGCTATTTTGGCCATTTTGGATACGGTGACAACCGGGTGCTGGGCTTACCTTTGGGCGGTCACTCATTGGGGCGGTAAGATCTAGGATCCTTGGCTGTAATTCTGTCTCTAATTTGAACCGAATAACGCAGATCCAACCATATTCGCCTACCTCCCCACAGTTTTCGTAATTGAGACCTTCTGCTTGTTTGTCGAATCACTTGTTCGCCTCATCCCCATACTGAGGATTGATGTCCGATTATAGTGGAACTGCCTGTCTCACCAACCAATGCTTCTTCGCCTGGCGTTTGTGGACAATCACCAAGCGGAAAAACTGGTATCTTCCGCTTTTCATCGTTTCTAATGGCCTGATTCAAGAAGGTAAACATCCATATTTTGGGAGGCGGATAACAGCATTAATTTCGACGATGTTGTCCAGCGGTGGTGTTCTGGCTCATGAACTTATTCAGGACCCATCCTCTGCTCGTTGACCTCGGTGCTGCATTGTAAGTCTGTGATTTTTATTGCTTGTCGGGAGTGATGCTCATGTCTGTTGTTTTAGACCCACTGGTATGAGGAAGTGTCCGCCAGTTTGACCCAAGTTAACTGATTCGTTTCGATATAGGTTACGCTTGGCTGGTCTGTGCTATGTACGCTTGCCCTTTTGAAGAATAGTCGACGTAAACTTATTTATCCTCAAAGTCTCGGAGATGCATCAGTCACTGTAGGAATGGTGTACTACCTACGCATCAAAACCAGCTCCCGAGATATAGTGGTCAACGCGAGTTCAAGATCGTACGTGATTTCTCTGGTTCATTGAGGGTGTTCTAACAACCTAAATGCACATTTACAGAGTTCTCAATGGAATTATTGTTCGGACGTTACAGTGCAACGTGTTGGCCCTTTTGAGTCAAGTTGCGATGTTCGTCATGTTTTTCCTGAAAAGTAATCCCAACGTCGGCGCTTACTTCTGTGAGTATCCGTGATCTCAAGCAAACCAATCATGTGGTGAATTCGATATAACATGCTAGTCTTCAACGATTTCCTTGTTGTCAAGGTAGATATCTTTTACTTGAAATGTTAGTACGTGCTAACCAATTTGATAGATATACGCGTTCTCTCTCCTCCTGACCTGTTCGTATCTACGTTCTTCGTCGTTCAATCTTGTATGAATCTTGTTTCAGTGAACGCTCGCAAGACGATGGCCACCAAATTCGACAGCAGCCGGGGTGGAGGAACATCTGATAACATTGCTCTTAGCAATGTACAAAGCGCCATCAATCGGACACGCGTGCAGCTCCCCCATGAACCAGGTGTTGTTTCTATTCAAGTACAGTGCGTATAGATTTTCCCTTCCCGTATTAGTTCCTTGCTTAATAATGAAATTTCTTTCAGCCAACAAGTCGACGTCGATGAGACCTGGAAGCAGGATTCAGCAACCTCACAATATTCAGAGCGTAAAGTTGACTACGTCTAATCCGCAGAATGCGCAAAACGCCAGACGTTGAAGGCATTTTTTTAAAAGTTCTCTTGACACATTCGAGGTCCTTCAAAATGATGTACACAGGGACAGACGACGCCGCAGGTCGTAGATCAGACCTAGGTGCTGTATCGCATATACCCTCGGACGGATTTTTTACATGCATGTACACCACAATTGCATTCTTAGCATCATAACCTCAGATTAACAGTCATTACTTGTTCATTAAATCAATACTTGCACCATTCATTTGTCTCGGTCATTCGAGGTGTCAGGCTCTCAATTCAAGTTAGAAATGAACGCCCGAGGAAGCACGTTGGTTTGCCGTTGACCCTGTTCGCGCGGCGTATACAAGCCTATACAAGCGTGTACATTCTCTTCCATTGTTTGCAGCGATGAGGACGGGGTGGTTGTTCCAAGTTCGATGACAGATGATTCTTGATAATTCTTGATACACTAATAGTAATCAAGAACATACATATATCTTGAAGCATCACTGCAAAACTCCGCCGTTCACTCGATGAGATTTTCCTACATCTTCCCATGAATCCCTAGCTAATTAAGACCACGGGGGTTTAGCGACATCAATTCAAACAAAACAGTACATGGTACGCACACTGCCCTTCTAAATTCCGCATCTCGCAGAGTTACTCCCGAATTACTGTGCCTTTTCCTCCCCGTCGCCTTTTTCAGTGATCTTCGCAGTACCGCTCTGACTTCCTACTTGATCTATCATGCCAATTGATTCAGGGTTTCCCGACCCACCTTGGGCCTTTTGTTGTGAAGACCCCTTGCTACTCGCCGCATCCAACGGAGAATTAGAGTTCTTCTGCAATTTACCCGCATGGGCCGATTGGGATTGGGGATCGTTATGGTGAAGGTCGTCTTTTTCGTGAGCAGGACCTTGTGAGAGCTGGGGATCTTTCCCTCCTGGTGTGTAGAGTAACAAATACCTCAGTTGTGATAGTAGATAACAACTGAGATTGAATAAATATACCTGTAGAGTAACAAATACTACTATAGGATCAGTATGAAGAATTAACCTAAGTATGAGTACGACGACTTACCCTCAGTTGTGATAGTAGATAACAACTGAGGGAAAGCTGAGAAATAGGAGTCGCTCGTATAAGTGTTCGATCGCGAAGTATGTAAGCAGTAACGAGCCGAAGAAATAAAGAAATACCAAAGCTAGGATAACAGAGCGTACGGATTCTTTCCTAACACACCCCCTAATCCGTGCGATCCAGACCCAAGAATTTCACCCACTTCGAGTGGATTGTACCGTTCAAGGCCTTCGTAAAGATATCTGCTACATTTTCCCCAGTCCTAATCAGTTTAATTGCGATTTCCCCATTTTCTACCTTCTCCCGAATAAAGTGGTAGCGCATCTCAATGTGTTTGACCAGCATATTCTTCTTTGAGTTCTGCGTGAGGCTGACCGCCGCGAAATTATCGCAGTGAAGCGTTAGTGGACCATCCTGTCTCAGGTCCACTTCTGCTAGGAATGACATTAACCAACTTGCCTGTTGACTGGCCCTTGCCGCTGAGATGTATTCAGCTTCGGTCGTCGACAGTGCTACCGTTGGCTGTCGCTTCGAACTCCATGTGACCGGCGCCCCAGCCATGAAGAACACATTTCCAGATGTTGACCTTCGAGTGTCCATACATCCCGCATGGTCGGCATCCAGGTATCTGCAGGGTTTCAGACCTTCTCCCTTGGTTAACTCGGAACCGGGCGGCGGCTTCCTGTAAGTGATGGTATAGTCAAGTGTTTCTAGGATATATCCTGCTAGCCATTCTATCGCCTCCCAATGCTGACGCCCGGGATTGAGTTGATAACGGGCGAGTTTGTTGGCCGCAAAGGATATATCTGGTCTGGTACAAACCTGACCCCACATCATGGATCCAACGACTGGTCGGTAAGGCTTGTCATGCATGAAAGTTCGTTCATCGTCTGGTAGGGGATTCGGAGCGGCTTCGAGTTTGTTGTCAGGTGAAAGTGGAGTCCGGCGACGTTTGACATTTTGGAGACCGAAATGTTCGAGCATGCAGGTGAAGTAGGCTTTCTGCGATAAAGTAATGGCTCCTGTCTTCTTGTCTTGCGTGATTTTCATCCCTAGAAGTATTTCGGATCTCACCTCGCCACTCTCCCAACGCTTTCCAAGGTCCTCCAGGGCCTTCTTCTTCTCGACATCCCCTTCTGCCCCTCCTAGAACGTCATCTCCATATGTGCTCGTAATGGTGTACTTCCCATTCTGGCGTCTCCAGCGCACGCATGGGTCTGCTTGGGACGAGGTGTAACCATCTTCCTTATATCCCGCCGCTAGTGTCTCTTGCCAATCATGGCTACCCTGCATTGTACCATATATCGACTTCTTTAGCTTGCAGACAAGGTGTTCAGTACCAGGTTCGACGAATCCCTCCGGTTGTTTCATGTATACATTGTGCTTTATTGGGCTATTAAGGAAAGCGGATTTGAAGTCCACTTGGAAAAGTGAGAGGCCGAGAACCACGATGATGGCTAGGACGATTCGGAAAGATTCCATTCGTGCCACGGCGCCAAATGTCTCGTCGTAGTCCATACCATAAACCTGTGTGTACCCTTTCGCTACATATCTCGCCTTTCTCTTCAACAATTCTCCTTGTGATCCCCACTTGGACGTGAATATCCACATTGCATCCATGAGGTTTGCTCCCTGAGGTAGCGGTACCAGCTCCCACACTCCTTTTTCCATTAACGCGTCGTATTCTGCCTGAGCAGGTGGACCCCAGAGGTCCCAGCGGAGCTTTGCCTCTTTGAAGTTCCTTGGTGTCCATCTCTCGTCATGGGTCGATGCGAAAGCCCATGGTTCGTGGGCGACGAGTGTAAATGCAGTATCGGGTCGATTCCAACCCATTTCTTTCCAAACAAGTTGGTCTATGTTCATTGAGCCGCCAGTTCGTTCGCGTAAGACACGTGTTGATGTGGGAGCTGGAGGTTTAGGAGTGGGTATGGAGTCTGGAATAGGAGATTGAGGAAAAGAATCCGGCTCAGAAGGTATAGGTGTGAGGGGAGACAGCTGAGAGAGAGAGGGAGGAGTTGATGGTGAGGACGAGGGCGCTAAATCAGATTCGAGTGGCGCCCCGGATTTAATGTCCTCGGCATCACCGTTCGAACCGAGGGAGATCTTGTCATCAGATTGAGTTCTCTTAGCTATCCCTTCCTCAAATTTGACATCCCTCGACTCGATGATTGTCTTCCACTCTGGCACCCAAATTCGGTAGCCCCGGTGTCCCATGTATCCAAGCAAACGGCCTTTAATCGCCTGACGAGCAAGCTTCCCATCTTTTCTGGTCTCTGGTAGTGTTGCCCAGGCTTCACATCCGAAAGGCCGTAAGTGGGATACATCTTGGCGTTTCTTGGTCCAACGTTCCATGGGGACAACATCAGGTGAACGAGCAGTGGGGACGAAATTGTCAACGTATATGAAAGTACTTGCTGCTTCTGCCCAGAATCATGGTGGCAAACCAGAATCTTCGAGGAGGGTTCTCGTACCCTCAATCACAGTCCTGTTTGCGCGTTCCGCCATCCCATTAGCCGCGGAAGAGTAGGGGGGTATCTTCTCAACAACAATACCGTGTTCTTTGCAGTATGACTGCATAAGCTTGTTGTTAAGTTCACCTCCGCCGTCTATCCGAATCATTCGAAGTCGTTCACCGGTCTGGTTCTCTGCCATGATGCGAAACTCATGGAAGTGTTTGAGTGTGGTTTCTGCCCGTTTATTGGAGATGAAGTATGGGACTCGGATGGAGGATGCACCGTCAGAGCAGAGCATCATATAATTGGCCCCGCCTCGACTCTGAGTTCTGGAAGGTCCCCATAAGTCAATATGCACCCGTTCAAGTACTTTGGTCTCGTGTGTGAGTATCTCATCAAACGGGCGTCTTGTCGCTTTGCCATATAGACAAGGTTCGCACATTCCTCGTGTCTCTTTCGATGTTACTTGCAAACCGTCCACTAACTTTTGATGTGCCATTCTCAGAATTCTTGCAACTCCAACGTGACCGAAGCGACGGTGCCAAGTATGTATATTGGTTGGTTTTTCATGGGACTTGGCTGAATTTGCGTAGATTTTCCGGTCAACTCGGTACATTTTTGAGTTTCCAGCTTGTATCCCAACCATTACCACTTTACCAGAGGATGTCCTCACGGTGAGTTTCCGCTCCCCCCATTCGCCATTATATCCCTCTCTATCGAGTGTTGATACTGAGATTAGGTTGTGTGCGAATTCCGGGGTATGTTTCACTCCTTTGAGCTTCACATTGCACTCCAGACCATCTACCAGCGTTGGGACATTCACATCGCCAATCCCTGGTATCCGGAACCTGCCAGAGTCACCCGCTATTGCGCTGTTTCCACTTTGCCCACTAACAGTCTCGTACCGAATGAAATCCAACCATTTTACCCAGCAATGCTCTGACGCTGCCGAATCAAGAAACGTCTCTGGCTCGGTTGGTTCAGGTGGGGAATAGAGTGGTATATTACCGTTGCAAACGGTGCACTCGATAGGATTCGATACAAGGGCATAACTAGGTACGTTATCGCTGACACTAACACTCTCCCTTTTCTGACTCTTGCAATTTAGAACGGTAGTTCTTTCGGGTCTATTGGAGTCATCAGGGGATAGTGTTGTGGAGGTCGGATGGATGGACATACCCGGCTTAGTAGAAACATTGACATGGTTGGTGTGAATGTAGAGGTCGGCAGGATCTGGATCAGTCAGGATCGTCGCGCTAGAGGCAGTGGTTGAGCTGGGTGCGGCGGTGCGGTTCTCGTACTTGTCCTTCCAGCTCTTTGGGGCGTTACCTTCTCCACCTCCACCTTTCGCCCAACAGTTTTCGATGGAGTGACCAAGCTTCCTAGGGCAGGAAGGGTTGGTGCAGACTGGTCGGTTCCGACATTGTACAGCACTCGCGACGACAGGGTGTGCTGCAATGTGCTGGGCAACTAGCGCTGC